ATTATCTTTAAGTAGTTGTATGAAGGAGTTTCCAATTCAACCTTAGTTTGAGTACAATACAAGTTGATCAATGTCACCCCTTCTATCATTTCTCTCAACACCACCCACTCTTCAAAACAAATATTTTACATTATCTCTAAATTCCACGTGCCAGCTTCTGAATACATTGCATCTCCCAGCATTCTCCCCTCTACCCCTACTTGGGGTTTCCCTGTCTTGTCTAACTCCTACCTTCCTTCTTAACTTGCCAGAAGCCAAACACCTTTAAAAACACTTGACAGAGAACCCACTAGGCTACATGTGCCCCTTTACAAATACTTAGAATGCCTCTCTTGGAAATGCACAACAACAAATATACATTGCTCACTCCCACCATATTTCACCTACCTTTCTGCTCTCCCCTCTGCTTTACTGCAGTCTTACTTTGTCAAACTCCTCCCTGTGCCCCCACCCACACAATCACCAGCCACCTGGCCCTGACTTTCTTGCCTAGCTGTGCCCCCCACACAACCCACCTCCCAGGCCCCCTCCACGCCCCATCCCCCGATGACTCCATTTTTGGCTTTCTTCTCTCCTGGGCCTCAGCTGGGAAAGGGAAAGTTTTATCTCGACAAGCTTTCTACTCCTGATAACACAACATGACCCCAGTTCTTACCTATTTCTATGTGTGTTGACAGGCCACATGGTGAACTTGTAGAACAGAACAACGCCAGCACAAGCAGCAGGCCAGAGCGCAGCCTGAAAGCAGGCATGTTGTCATTCCTTCCGGCTCCTCTGGTGACAGGACCACTCCACGCAGCACTGCACTCCAAACTCCAGGCACAGACTCCACAGGTCCCTTCTCTGCAGATCACTGACACGAGAAAGCAAGCTGAATTTCGAAATAATATTTTCCAATGAAGTCAACTGTTCAACTACTGTTTAGCTTCACCACAAAGCAAACAAGACTGTCTGCCTGAGAGCAGGGAACAAATGATCCACCGACACCTAAAAGCTTCTAGCCGGAAAGATCTCCATCTTCCCATGGACCGAGGATTTCCCTGGATTCCATTTTAATATGAAACTAGGAAGAGGCAAAGTTGTCCTCCGATAATATATATCTAGTCTTGCTTTCTAAACAAGAGTCACCTGCGCAAATTGATAGTCTATTCTTCAGCCTTACCTTACGTGGGTGATGTCCCAAACATCCTTTCCACATACTTATCAGGCTCTCCTGCTTCTTGGCCTCCTAAGCTGCAAGTGCATGCTGGGAAAGCTTTTATGGTGATCAGCTGGACAGCCGGAACCGGCTCTCTTTCAGTATTTGGCAACAGGTACAAATACTTGTGTAGGATTACACAAGTGAAGCCACTCCTGGTCTTCTACCCCTGACTCCTCTGGAGCCTATTGGAATGTCAGAGGTGGGCACAGGAAGGGGATTTGAACCAGGAAAACAAAGGTTTGGAAAATACTGGGGTCTGAATGCACTTGCCATGAAGTAGCCAGTGAATAGCACTGAATCCATGGGAGGGGCAGGGTTTAGGTCAAGCTCTTCTTGGAAAGGATGGTGACATTAAAGTTCTAATTATGTATAGTGCATACAGTAAATGCAAGACAAGGAGTTGAGTGCCAGTCAGGAGGCTGAGATCTGAGGATCACAATTCAAAGCCAGCCTAAGCAAAAAAGGCCTTGAGACTCTTATCTCCAATAAACTAGCAGAAAGAAAGAGAGAGAGAAAGAGAGAGAGAGAGAAAGGAAGGAAGGAAGGAAGGAACTAAGGAAGGAAGGAAGGAAGGGAACTATGGCTCAAGTAGTAGAGTGCTAGATGGAGCAAAAATGCTAGGAGAGAGTCCAAGTCCCTGGGTTCAAGCCAAAATACTGGCACAAAAAATATGTAAGTGGGATGAAACCATGTTTATTTTCAGGTTAGCCGGAAGAGGTGAAAGAGCAACAATGGCTGATTCAAGACTTGTCGTCTGTCAGCATTGTGCTGTAATATTTATTTACTTACTTATTTTGCTGGTACTGGGCCTTGAACTCTGGGCCCTGGACTTGCTTCCAGCCCTTGTAATCTTAATTAACTCCAGGTTCAAAGCCCTAGGAAATAAGCACTTTCCTCTTCTGGGGGAATTAGGCCCAGCTGCTTCTACCCACTTTTAGGCCAGAAGCCACAAATGGTTGTGTTTTATTTGTCTAACAGTGTTTTATAAACTTAAGTCAACTTTTAAAATGAAAAAAAAAACCTCCACATAGAAATCTAAATAAATGATTTAAATAAATTAAAAGCCCTGGCTTCCTGAAGTGGCATTCTACCATAAGCTCCCCTCTACATCCTCCGTGCCCAGCCTCCATACACCATGTCTGGGTTTCCATGACCCTCTGGCCACCACAAACTTGGCTTTGCTTCCTTCTTCCCTGTGCCTCCTAAAGCCGGAGGTGACAGGCTAGCAATTACAAGTTGGG